TATCTGCTCCTATAAGTTGGATTAGTGCCTTCTTGGTACATTCATTGTTGATCTGCGGAGGCTCGATCCTGCGTGCTTCTTTCTTCTTCGAGTGTAAAGAAGTAGATGTGTCTAGCCTCTATTCTATCAGCAAGTGCACTAGTCTCATCTCTAGCCTCTATGCTAGCTAAAAGTGCTAGAACATCTACTAAATTGCACTCTATCAATATATCGTTGTACTCTCCTTCCCAATACCAAAACTTGCATCCATTCTACACAATAAAATGTTAAGTTAGCACAACTAGTCTAATCTGAGAGCACAACCGAAGATTTGGTTGAGTTCTTCCTCCTTTTGCCGACACGTGGGACATCCAGCATCCAGGTCATGTCATGCAATAAAATAGAGTGGTAGTTGAAGCCACGTGATGTGCATCTTGGGTTAAACTGTAAATAAAATCTTACTACTCTTGAGTAACTACAAAAGCGGCCACCGAAGATCTTTTCTTGGATTTTTTTTTCATCACCAACACGTCGAGGTGAAAGATGTGCAGGTTCAGTGGGTCCTCTTGCGTTTTCACTGACATGTGGGACCACATATGAGCAAACAGACAATGGGCTCCGCGCGGTTGCTGGCTGGCTGAGAAGAGAGATAGAGGAGGGCTGAGCACGGACTCCATCAAAATTTGTTCTATGTAACCAGCACCTCGATATAGTGGGGTGGCATGGGCCATAACTAGCATTCATGTCTAGCAGTACAGCACACGCCACCCACATGAGTCCCATCCGACACCAATTTTCTTGGAGTCCGTGCTACAGCCATCTCTTCTCCCTCCTGTTTTCTAAGCCATCGCGTTTTGGGCGGGGTGGGGGTTTGCCGATAGTCGGTTTGCTCAACTGCGGTCCCACTTGTAAGTGAAAATGCAACACAGCACACATTCCCCCATGAGCGGCGTGCCGGACCAACCGTGTGGGGGTGCGACGCGAACACGACAGGCTTTTCCTTTTGAACTTGTAACTTGTAAAATTTGGTTCTTCTCCATGGCACGATCGATAGATAAAAATAACGATTTTCCCTAGAGTAATGAGAAGTTTGGTTCTGGTGCGGTTCATGCATGGAGTATGTAGGAAAATTATGAAGTTGATGCGAAAGGTAAGATAATTACTAGTAGTACCATATACTACTACATGGATTTGACGGAAAGATAAAGATACATACGGATTCATCAACGACATCCTCACGCCCTAGTGCACCGGGGCACCAACCGACGTGTGAGGAGCAGCGGCATTGGCGGCAAGCTCAACGTGCTTCTGAACAATGTCGTCCAAGATTTCCCTGCAGTCTGAGAAGGCCACCATCCTATCGTCCTCCTCTTGCATGTAGTAGTCCTTGTGGATGATTTGCACGTAGACGTGGGTCATTATGTCAATGGTGTCTTGCTGCGCCAAGCGCTGCGCGGCGAGCGCGACCTCGAGGAGGACATTCTTTGGCGCGACGGCGGGCAGTCGCAGGGCCACTAGTGCGTCGAAGAGGTTGTCACCATAGAGGCCGTTGAGGGTGGCAGGCATCACAGAGCCTGGGCGCGTAGGCTGGAGGCGTACGTCAAGGTCGTCCGCGAGCTTCTTGACAACGGTGAACTTGTCAAGGAAGCCGACGAGGACCTCGTCGAACAAGGAGACGAAGCTGTCTTCCAAGCAGCCCCTCGCCCTGGCGGCCTCAAGCACTACCTGGAGACGTTCCTCGATGCCGGGCCACAGGGCGGCATCATGGACCATCTGGCACAACCGGCTGATGCTCGCGCTCATCGCCTCCATGGGTCTAGCTTTTAGTCAACTGATCTTGCGATTGGAGTGATCACTCTTGCCCTTGGGTGCGTAGGTGCGTAGGATTTCGTAGATTGGACTGGTGGGAGCCTTTATATGAGAAGTGCAGACTATGTTGAATTCACGTGTGTGTTGGTCATCTACTCCTCGCCCCTCTACTGCACCTGCCTTTGGCTGTATGACAGGTTGTCCAGCCACCCGTTGGGCCCACGTGTCATACACCCAAAGGCAGGTGCAGTAAGTCAATGAAGATGCGTCCCCCTTTGTGCCCGTGCATGCTTTTAATGACTTGAGACTACCAAACATCACATACAGTGGTTAGTTCATTGCATGTGATCCTATTAAGTAGCAAAAAGGCATTATGTTGTCTCGCCGATAGGAATAAAACAATACACCATGTATTTATTTACAGAGGGAGTAGTACATTTTTTGTGACATGCATTACTAGATATTGCTAGTCAAATACTAAATCCAGATGGACGTGGTAGTACTACCAAATCCATACGGTGGTGCTAGTACTAGTAGTAGTAGTAGTAGTACTACCAATGTACTAGCACTGTACTACCCATTGGACAAATTATTACGTGCTGCTCCTCACAGTGAAGTGACAAGACCCTACGCCGGAGATGACACCTGAGTATAGGCGTTGTGTTCGGCATACCATAGTCAGCCTCACCGTATGTAGTCACTATCATCATGGCTGTAGACCTAGCCTACTTACAACTAGCCGTGTTCGACATAATTTCCTGTGCGTAGATGCCCGTGCATTGCACAGAACACCAAGATTGGGGGTGGACGGCGCCGGCAGTGGCCATCATGCCAGATTTTTCCATGGCCTTCTAGATGTGGTGGGGAGGAGATAAGGCTAATTGTGAGAGACAAGGAGTTGTTTGTAAATAGGGAACAAGTGCGGGCATCTTTTTGCAAAACTGGAGAAGTTTAGTTTGTATGCGTCAGATCCAGATCCGACGGCTATTGGAGAAAGATGGCAGGCACAACATCATCACCAACTCAGGACCTGTTTGATTCGCAGGATTTTGAAAAGGCAGGAATAGGACACAGCAATATTACAAGTTTCAAACTAATATTACAAATGTTAGGACTAATGCTGCACCTACAAAGAGGGAATTACTAGGAAGTTTACGTAACAACTTTCATTACTATATTGAAAGCTCATATTCTAAGACTTCTAAAGTACCAACAAATCTACTGGAAAAAGAGATGCACCATACGCTGGGTTCAATTTGGTGATGAGAACTCCAAATTTTTCCAAGCACTCGCTTCGGAAAGATATAGAAGGAACAATATTTCTACGCTATGCACCCCCGAGGGAGCTGTGGTGGAAGACCACGCTGGCAAAGAATCCATCATTTTCCACACGTACAAAAGCAGACTTGGCACATCAACTCCTCATGACATGAAATTTGATATGACGAGAATTATCAAAAGATGTGAGGGGCTTGAGGCTTTAACAGCTCCCTTCACACATGAGGAAATTGACAATGTGATCAGAGAAATGCCTGCCGAACGAGCTCCTATCCCAGATGGTTTCACTGGAATCTTCCTAAAACGTTGCTGGTCAATCATTAAAGAGGATTTTTATAAACTATGTAATCAGTTCTTTGATGGAGGGCTCAATCTCGAAAGTATCAATGATGGCTTCATCACCTTAATTCCTAAAATCGGCTCCCCAACGACTATTAATGATTACAGACCTATCACGTTACTCAATTGCTGTCTTAAGGTAATCACCAAACTCCTTGCCAATCGTTTGCAAAAAGTCATCCTCAAAATTATCCACAGAAACCAATACGGATTTCTCAAAGGGCGATCAATTCAAGACTGCCTCGCTTGGGCATATGAATACATTTATCAATGCCAATCCTCTAGGAAAGAAATTATTCTACTCAAGTTAGACTTCGCCAAGGCATTCGACACGATTGATCATGAAGCGATGATTGAGATTATGAGAAGTATGGGCTTCAATGAAAAATGGCTTGGATGGATCAATTGCATTTTCTCCTCTGGAAAATCTTCAGTACTGCTAAATGGCACACCTGGAAGACATTTTTTCTGTAAGTGTGGGGTGAGACAAGGTGATCCACTCTCACCACTTATCTTCGTTCTAGCCGCTGAGTTGCTTCAAGCTGCGATCAATGACGCCTTCGCTCAAGGCCAAATACAACTGCCCTTTCCATCCGCAGCACAGAAAGACTTTCCCGTTATCCAGTACGCCGATGACACACTCATCATCCTTCTTGCATGCACACAACAGGTGATCACTGTCAAAAAGATCCTTGAAGATTATGCCACTTCCATTGGACTCAAAATCAACTTCAATAAATCCACTATCATTCCCATCAACTGTGATGCCACCAAATGTGAGGAATTGGCAAATGTTCTTGGATATGTGGTAGGCAAAATGCCGTTCACCTACCTTGGACTCCCTTTGGGAACAACAAGACCCACGGTCCTTGAGCTGATGCCATTGGTGTGTAGCATTGAAAGGAGGTTGTCGGCCACCCTAAACATGATTTCCTATGGAGGCAAACTTTCACTCCTAAACTCGGTCATCACTTCTCTCGCCATTTTTGCTCTGTGCACACTTTGGCTTCCAGCAAAAATCATTGAGCTTATTGATAAGATTCGAAGGAAATGCCTTTGGACCAAAAAAACTGAGCAAGGGGACACATGCAACTCGCTGGCATCATGGTATATGGTGTGCCAACCCAAGGTTTGTGGTGGACTTGGCGTGCTTAACTTAAAAATTCAAGGGGAGGCACTTCTCTTGAAATACCTTCATAAGTTCTACAACCACTCTGATTTGCCTTGGGTCGAACTCATCTGGACCACGTATTACGAAAATAAGATTCCACACGCCATGGACACTTGTGGATCATTCTGGTGGAGAGATGTGGCTAAACTAATGCCAACCTTTAGAGGGATCACGCAAGCTCAAATACTTCATGGGAGTGCGGTGCTATTTTGGAAAGACCTTTGGGGACCACAAATTCTATCAGAAGCTTACCCGAGAGCTTACTCTTACGCAAAAAATGAAGATATTTCTGTTAGGGATTTCTTGAGCGTCACGTCACTTGCTGAGGCCTTTCACCTACCTCTATCGCCGCAAGCGCATGCAGAGGCCAGGCAACTACAACTGGACACCACAGCAATAAACATCCCGGACAGCAGCCAGTTTCATGACAAATGGACATATGTCTGGGGTCCTCAACCTTCACAACACACCAATTCTACTCCTTCTGCTTCAGAGACATGGTGGCACATCAATCTTTTCGTTGGTTATGGAAATCCAAGTCCACCATGAAGATCAAAGTTTTTGGATGGTACTCCTCTCTGACAGCTTAAACACGAGAAACATGCTTAAGAGGAGACACTACAATATTGGTGATGACCATGATTGCATCCTATGCGGCATGCGCATTGAGGAAACAATTGAGCATTTGTTCTTTGAATGTCAATTCTCTCAAATTTGCTGGGCCAGCTTGGGCTTCTCGTGGCAACAAGGAGGGACCAGACTTGAGCATATTGAGGTTGCCAAAGAGACTTGGGCTCGGCCACTTTTCATGGAGGCTTTCCTTATTGCAGCCTGGAGCATTTGGAAGGAACGAAACAATAAACATTTTCAGAGGTATAGCACCATCCAAGGACTCCTGGCTAAAAAGATTCAAAGAGGACTACTCTCTCCTAACTTATAGGGTTAAGGAGAAGCACAAACATCTCATCCCTGCCCTCTTAGACACCTTGCAATATACCAACACCTCCAACACCCCCCCCCCAATCACCCCAAAATGGGGTGAATGTGAATTACCATGTAATTGTAAGACTTCTATTCTTTTAATTTATTTGCAGTAGGAGGTGCTCCTACTGTTTCAGGTTAAAAAACAACTTTCATTACTTTAGGTGGATGCAGCATTATCGTACAAACTAAAATCCACCGCCCTGACAAGTCACTAATGGGCAAATAAGTTTTCGAGTCTCTGGCCACTTGATGTTTCAAAAACAAATTCAGCTTCTGCGGAGACTTTGTCATTTAGGCTTAGACGCTTGCGGTGATCAGCACGCCATTCATTGTTGCGCCAGAGAACGCCAAACCTCATTACCTTGAGCACACTTTCCTCCAGAACAAAGAACCTGGCCAATTTAATCTCAGGTGTGCTGCCTCGATAGTCGACCAAATAAATTTCTGTAAGATGGAGATCAAGGCATTTGATGAGATTGTTATAGTGCAACACATTTTTCACTTTCGGGTCTTTTTTATCTGCAATAGAAGAGAACATATTAGAGCAGCTGGATGTATAAGATTGCTGTGTCATCAAGAGGTACCAATAACATTTGCTCATACGATAGGGTTGGCTGGCTAGTGATATTTTCTCTCTCTCTCTCTCTCTATCTCCCTCGCTTTCCTCTCATTTACCTAGGAGTACGTGAAGAGCTTGGGCATTTGTTGCATTCCACTATGTGGTCGATGCCATATTTCGCAAAAGTATGCCACATAATATGCATCGATGTCAAATCAAAAGATTTTGGCACCGCTCTCGCGATGTGAGGGAGTTGGCACCGTTGTGCACACAAACCCACATGTATAATCAAATCAATCAAACCAACTACACCAGCCTCTCACTCTCCCAAACAAGTGTTTTTTTATTGCCTCAGTCCTCTCTCACTCCCACGCAAGTGTTTTTTCATTGTGTGAGTTAATTTGGCACCAGAGCAAAGCAGGTGATCCAGATTGGGGCACCAGGTGAGCAATGGAGGGGCATCGATGCCAAATGCATCACAAGTGAATTTGGCACGTGTTTTGGCCTACATAGTGGAGGGCCGTTATAGCCCACTTTTTTACTACCTCTTATCTAGTATAAAATTTTGACCATATATTTATGTAAGAAAATGCCAATGCATGTCAGTAAAAATTACACCATTTGAAATTATGTTCAAATATGAATCCAATGATATAGTTCTTAGTGACATGCATTAACATTTTGTCAGTTAAATCTATGGTCAAATTTTGATACTACAAAATAGGAGTAAACCAGGACAGAGGTAGTACTTGCTCTTAGGGTAACCATAGAGTTACTGGAGTAGTCTAAGTTACTTTCCACTATGACTAGCCTAGGCTACTATAGTAGTACAACAAAAAAAGATGTAGGTGATCAGTGAGAAAAAATACTAAAAATATTTCTTTCGGTGCAGTGTGTAGATGCAGTTTTGAACACTACACTTGTCATCATAATTTGGGAAAATTATGAAAAATCTGAGCCACGTTGTGATTTTCGTTTACTAATAGGAAAGAAGTTTCACCTCGATGAGTAGCTTCTCCGTGCATGGAAAGCATGTAAGGAATCCAACAACTTGATCCAGATTGGGGCCGATAGATTTTATTGCCAAGATCTTCACTATGCACATAGACTGGGTCAAGCTTGTGGGAATCATTTTCTGGAAGACGGTCGTAAATACATCAAGAAGAAATTTAAAAATGTGAATTTCAAGAAGACAGAGAAGAAGATGAGTGTTGTACCTGAACGATTACGGATCCAATAAAGAGTTTGGAGAATTTGGCAGACGAGTCCATTTTATCGATATGAGTGTTCTGTATCAGATAAATTTTACATTAGCTATTTCCCGTTTAAATTCGGTACTAATACTAATATAGTTATAGAAAGAGTACCTCTTTTTTCCTGGACTTCAAGCAGTTTAGCTTTAACCATGTTAATGGTCTCACATTCTTGTGCACCAACGCTGTCAATTGCAGTGCATCAATGACCCTGATTTTTGTTGGACCTTCTAGATCTGATACAAGCAATATTTCAAGGAAAGGCGCATTCTCAATGACCATAACGTGGAAAAACTAGAGTGATCTCTTCCCAATTGATGTCTTTTTGCGGGGCCAGCAAGACACATAAATCCATCGGAGATTTGTTGAGGCGATGTGGAGGCTAATGAACCCGTGGATCTGCTCAAGACAAAGGTACTCGAGCGCAGTACAGCTGCGGAGCAGGTGCTCCATAGACTTATTCGAGGTGACAATGTCGAAGAGGTCGAGCTGCTTCAGTTGAGGGAGAAGAAGGGCGGGCGCGGTGAGGGAGTCCTGGATTAGGGGGTATCCGGACAGCCGGACTATACACTTTGGCCGGACTGTTGGACTATGAAGATACAAGACTCAAGACTTCGTCCCATGTCCGGATGGGACTCTCCTTTGCATGGAAGACAAGCTTGGGGATTCGGATATTATATTTCCTTCCTTGTAACCGACTCCATGTAAACCCTAGCCCTCTCCGGTGTCTATATAAACTGGAGAGTTCAATCCATATGAGGACGATCACAACATTCATAATCATCATAGGCTAGCTTCTAGGGTTTAGCCTCTACGATCTCGTGGTAGATCAACTCTTGTAACACCCATATCATCAATATCAATCAAGCAGGAAGTAGGGTTTTACCTCCATCGAGAGGGCCCGAACCTGGGTAAACATTGTGTCCCTTACCTCCTGTTACCATTGGCCTTAGACGCACAGATCGGGACCCCCTACTCGAGATCCGCCGGTTTTGACACCGACATTGGTGCTTTCATTGAGAGTATGTCGTCGCTGTAAGGCTCGATGGCTCCTTTAATCATCAACTACGAGGTCCAGGGTGAGACTTTCTCCCCCGGACAGATCTTCGTGTTTGGCGGCTTCGCACTGCGGGCCCATTTGCTTGGCCATCTGGAGCAGATCGACAGCTACGCCCCTAGCCATCAGGCCAGGTTTGGAAACCTAAACTACACGGCCGATATCCGCGGAGACTTGATCTTCAACGGATTCGGGCCTACGCCAGGAGCGCCGGACAATCAGGATGTGCACGGCTTAGACCTGCTAACGGACAATGCCCGGGATATCGCCCCTGCAGGAGCCTTGGACTTAAGTCCGGGGCAGATTGCGTCACCCGAGGACAGGTGGATGGACCCTGCCCCGGAGACTGCACACCCATCGGCGGTAGAGCCGAACACAGACTTCACCTCCAAGGAAGCCTGTGACACCGGACCCCCGGACTCGTGTCCGGTTGTAGGCTCCAGTCCGCGCACCTCCGAGCCCGCCGAATCAGGTTGGGCTCCGGTAATGGAGTTCACCGCTGCAGATATCTTCCAGCGCTCGGCCTTTTGCGACATGCTGAACTTGTTAAAGTCTCTCTCTTTATTAGGAGACTCTCGGCCGAACTATATCCGGCTCGAGCAGGAAGCTGGCGACAAGGGAATTCGTTGCCCACCCACCACCCACTTCATAGCCACTGTCGACGATGTAACAAACATGCTCGAATTCGACCCTAACAACACCGACGGTATGGACGTCGGCGCAGGGGACGATTCAGAACCACCACTCACGGAGCGCTGGACCGCCACTTCATCATACGATATATACATGGTGGATATGCCTAAGAAGGACGATGGCGACAAACTGGAGGATAAAACTCCCGGACAAAAGCCAAAACGACGCCGTAGGCACCGCTCCAAGTCTAGCAACAGTAAAAATAGCGCCAGAAGGATCGACACCACAGTCAACTCCGAAGGCAACAAAGACCATATGGACCCAGCGATGGAGCATGATGAACCAGGTCACGCCGAACACAGCTCAGAGCAGACGCCCGATCACAGTGATCCCGAGGAACGAACCAACCAAACCGCCCCGGGACAAGAGCACAGTCCGGATGACGATGCATTCACCATCCCGGAGACACGCTTGGAATGAGACAACCTCCACAGAAAGCTTATAGCCACTGCGAGAAGTCTGAAGAAGCAGAAGCAAAAGCTTAAAGCCGCACAGGACACGCTCAATCGCAGATGGAATAAAGTACTAGACACTGAAGAAAAGTACGGCGACGATCGCCAAACAAAGAGCTATCCAAAGCGCAAGCTGCTACCAGAATTCAACGATGAGGCCGTTCCACCGAAGAACAATACGGCCAATAGGCCGAACAAACCACTTCGAAACCGCAATGGAGCAGCCACCGATGATGCACACGATTTACGTGAGCTCCTAGATAAAAAGTCTGGCGCGACAAGGTCCATCTATGGATCTAGAGGATGCACTCTAGCACATGACTATGGTCACCAAAACGATCAGACTGATCGGATACCAGTTCAGAATCAATACCGAACACATCAACAGCCGACGACATGCCATAACACGTCCAGAAACAGGGGGGCTGCTCACCCTTTGTGCTTCACCAAAGGGGTACTGGACCACGAATTTCCACAAGGTTTTAAACCTATGAACATCGAGGCATACGACAGAACGACAGACCCCAGAGTCTGGATCGAGGATTTCATCCTACATATCCACATGGCCCGGGGGGACGACCTCCACGCCATCAAGTATCTCCCCCTCAAGTTGAAAGGACCAGCTCGGCACTGGTTGAAAATCCTCCCCGAAAATTCAATCGGAAGTTGGGAGGAACTCGAGGACGCTTTTAGGACAAATTTTGTCCGACCCCTGTATGCGGACGATTTAAGTCACATAATTCAACAGCCCGGAGAGTCCGCCCGCAAACTTTGGAACAGATTCCTCACTAAGAAGAATCAAATTGTCGACTGTCCAGACGCTGAACCCCTAGCGGCCTTCAAGCATAGTATCCGGGATGAATGGCTCGCCAGACACCTCGGCCAAGAAAAGGCAAGGACAATGGCAGCCCTAACAAGCCTCATGACCCGATTCTGTGCGGG